TTGTGAGTGGACTTTCTTACTAAAAAGAAACTGATCTATCACTATTGTTCTTTTGTTTGCATGCAGTAAACAGGTTATTGATAAATATCATTTCATTAGTAATCACATAATCCATTCTACATAGTTGATACAATTCAAATAATCTTTATTTAATATCAATCAAACGAAATGTTTATAGCTATTTGAAAGGACATAAACAGAATGGGGTGTGGGTTAATCAATAACTACCCTAACCGCGATTTCAACTCAATTAACCCTTTCACCACGACGTGAGCCACTGGTGGCTCACGGTATATTTTAACCCGAAAAATGATGAGAAAGTAGATTTTCTTCTTTTTTTTTTAGATAGGAAGGGATAGTTAGTCATAGAATTACTCCATCTTTGTCACTGGTTGATCTATTTTATTATTTAGAGGAATGCTTTTCATTAAAACAATCAAGACAGAAGAATTTGTCGCAGTCAGGACAGAAAGTTTTTATTCTCTTTGCTGCCGTCGCACTTGCTTCTCTTAATTGTTGTTGTCTAATCTTCTCATAGCAACCAACACATCGTCTTCTGACATCACGTGTAGATCCTTCCATTTCTTCAAGCTTGTGATCCGCCAGCTTACGTTTCGTTTGGCTTGTTGAACGTTCTCTCGGACCAGGTTTTAGATTCTCGTATGGCACACCAAGAAGTAAAGATCGCACAAGACTTTCACGAAACTGTAGCATTGTCATACGGCTTGTGTCATAATTTTCTTTGTAAATCAAATAAGCATTCACTATCGACATTCCACATATTATTTCAAATGCCACCTTTTGATACCACTTTTTAGACCGTCTGAGACATGTGTAGTATGCCGATAGTTAATCTGATAAATCTATACCTTGTTTTCCTTTATTGTAATCGACGATAACTTGTGGCTTCATGATACGTTCATTTGCTTTATTGGATTTTCCGGTCTCCACTAAAGTGGCTGAATAGGATCGCTTTGTGGATATCATCAGAACATCTCTTTTATCTTTCCACTTGATTAGTTTTATACCATTGTTGCTCTGAAGTCCATAAACTTCACCACGTTTGAGCTTTTTCTGAACTACTTCATGTCTTGATCCAGCCCGATTACTTCTCAATGTTCCAATAAGATAGGTATCATTCCGCAATAAGCTTTTTGGTAGAGCCATACTTGCAAAGAAGTTATCAACTACTACAGTTCGATGACATCCCAAAAGATCATCTGCCAAATCGATTACGATAGTTTGAGCGTGTCCAACATCAGCTGTTGGATCATGCTTACCAGTATAAACTATAAAATTCCACGTGTATCCATTAATAGCCGCTAGCTTGTATATCTTTACGCCATATTTAAGCGCTTTTGCAGGAATATATTGTTTGAACAAAAATTTCCCTTTCTATGGTACCATTGTTTCGTCGATAGAAATAATTGAGCCAAGAATATAAATTGACTTAAATCTAGCTTTCAATAAATCTAAAAGTGGTTTCAATTCGAACAATCTGTCTTGATCTGCATGCGCTTCTTGGTTGTTCGAAAAATGATAAAACTTGAGAATTAATTCAAATCTATCTCTCGACATTGTATTTTGAATGACTTCAGATCCAAACAACTTGCTTTTGCTCCAGTAGTACTCTATTTTCGGCATTTGCACCAATCCCATCTCAATAATAATTCTCAAAAATTTGAGCATTTCTTCATTAGTAGTTGGTTTCCATTGAAGAGTTTTCGATCGTTTGGTACGCTTCTGAGTTTCTAGGTATTGTTCTGCACATCGATTAGTTTCACAAACCATGAGGCTAATAATCTTATCAGTGATGAAATATCGATAGCAATCGATAGGATTGATCGTACAATCTTCCGAACTCGTGGGTACTTCTTCGACCATTCCATGATCCTCAAAAAATTCAGCATCTGATTCTGATTCTATTTCACCCCAGACTTGTGAATCCACATCATCGTCCGTAGCTTGTTCATCGGAGCTTGACGATTCAAATTGCATTCTAGCAAAATCATCATTCAAAGAACTCACATCACTCAGTGAGTTACCGCTATGTTCTGTATCCGTTTCTTTAGACGACATGTAAATCAACGCAAAATTTTAGTTATTTTGATGTAAGTTTTGTGTATAGTTAGTGGAAGTGAAATCAGTTTATTGGGATATATATATGTATATATATATAGAGAGAGAGAGAGCAGTATAGAACAGAAAAAAGAAAATGCACTTTGATAACCTGAACGTATACGAAGAACAGAGACAAATAGTGTGTGTTTTTCATACATATCAACAGAACGAAAGTGGAGAAAAATAGAGTATGAGCCTATATGATTATGTCATATAATAGCGATGACACTAAGAGAAGACGGGAATGAGGTTATAACATCACCTAACAGAGTCAAAGATAATGTTACAAAAAGAATGTGAAAGACACAAAATTGAAATTCTGTTTCTTTTTTTCATTCCTACTGTATAACACATATAACAGAGAGAAAAACAAACTTGAGTGACTATTCAATTCGACGCGAAAGAAGACCTCCTATGCGATGATACAAACAACAGAAAGAAAAACAAATAGCTGCACATACTGAAAATATCAATGGGCATATTTATCAAGCGCGGACACGCATGAAAATTAATATGTTGAAGTTATTTTCCTCAGAAAACCGAATCCGCGGTGAAAGGGTTAATGCGAAGAATCATCAGATGGCAAATAGAAATCTGTATAAGAATATAAGAAAATTTTAAAATTTATTGAAAACAGATCAGTCTATATATGTATGATACAAATCAATCTGCTATTCTCAACGTTTGCTTTTCAGCAATCGATGTAGTCGAAAATCAAATTATAATTGAATATTAAAAAAAATGGTGTGTGGATTGGGATGGGGTGTAGATATGTGTGAGTGTCTGTGGGTGTAGGGTGGGTGTGAGTGTTAGTATTCTGTTCATTGACATCCACACCCTCATACTCTTATATAGCACATATTTTTCTAGTCCATGTAGTTTTTACCGCATAACCTTATATGCTTTGTAGCTGTTGTAGCCTTATCTCCTTATTGTCTTCTCCTTATTACCTTATCACCTTATTGCCTAACTCCCTTCAAGGCCTATGGGTACCTCTATAGGATAGAGCTTGAGGACCTATGAGTACCCTATAGGATAGCCCTTGAGAACCTCTAAGTACCTCTATAAGGTAGCCCTTGGGGGTTTGTGGGCACCTGTATATGATAGCTCTTGAGCACCTGTGAGTACTTCTATACGAGAGTCATTGAGGACTTATGAGTACTCCCATAGAACAGCTCTTGAAGATCTGTGTATACCTCCCCATATGATAGTCCTTTGAAAGCGTCCCCCTATAGCCTTACGCGACCTTTAACTTTTGACTTTTGACCCGGTACAGACAGACACACAGACACTGAATATTATATATATAGATAATATCCAGGTAGAGTCCAGAAAGTTACATGTATGATGTGCTGATGTAAAATGGGAAAAATCACAGGTATGATGTTCAGATAGAAGTGGAAAAATTACAGGTATGATATGCAGGTTGGGTCCAAAAAGTTACAGGTATAATGTCCAGTTGTATGTTGTTTGCGTGGTAGTAAATCATGGATTGTAGGGTTTTGGTAAAACATGGACTAATAGTTCATGGGTAAAATATGGACGGAAAGTGAGCTCTAAATCTGGAGTTTACTCGTGAGGCTCACTTTTCTTGACCTTCTGGTTCATATTGTTTCAATAATCTTTTTATTGAAATATTTTGTAAAACATAAAACAAATGTTGCTTCTAACAAAATAGATGTTAAACAAAAGAACGATATAGCATTGCTTTGAACTATATCGTAATTCTTCCGTCATATTGTTTTGGCTAAGAATAACAGCCACTTACAACTTAATTGTTATAATGTCATTATTAAGAAGTGTGAGAAATGTATAGGATGCACTAACCGCCAAATACAATTAATTGATAAAAACGTTTTTGTCTTCGAGTGGCTATCAGGGTGAATAAGAAAATTTTTATTGAGAATAATATGAGCACAATCTCACGCCCTACAACGTTCAGTAATTCGGGTTCGGGTCCGGATCCGAAAAATTTCAATAAACCAGGCCCGAGTCTGGGCCCAAAAGTATTGGACCCGACGATCCCTAGCCCCTGCACTCTTATAAAAAGTGCTATATATCTCTATGCATATACTATAGATAAAGTTAAAGTTCCCTTAGTCCCTGTACTCTTATAAAAAGAGGTATATATATACTATAGCTACATCTGAAGTGCCTTTAGTATCGTCTCTATAACAAAAGAAAGGGCATTCTGTAGCCCCCTTGTTCCAGCGTTTCAATTGGAAATCGGAAGACCTTTTTTTCTGCGAATTCAAAATAAATTCAAATAGACTATTATATGGCAGACCCAATGGTCAGCTTCAAGCTCTGTCGTGCGACTTAGCTTCAATCAATCTCATTTGTAAACTCACCTCCGCCCCCAATCACTCATTTCGATTTAACTATTTCATTCTTGTTGAATATGTTTTTTGTACTAAGCTGTGTCATACACTATTTCATTACCACGATAAGAGAGATCGTGGTGTTTGAATAGTTGCTCTCAAGTATCAGTGTCAGATTATCTTAATTGATGTAAGCATATCATTGGAAGAAAAAACCAACCTACTACATTTTTGTATATGTTTTAGAAGGCTCTAATTTTGATGTAATTGACAGTTTAATGTAAGTTCTAATAGTATATTTTTTCTTACACCGATGTTTTTCTGACAAAGAAGTACTTCGGCGTATGTAAAACAGATAGGTTACAACGAAAGTAACTTAATATGATGATTAGAGATGAGTTTTAGCCCACTCTGCAATTAGATCATTGGCTTGTTTAAATGCGGCCATAGTGACGTGATTGTCTGGATTAGGTCGAGACGCAAAACCATGTGCTGTGCCTTTTGTCATCAGAAATTTACTAGGTAACTCGGACTTGCGAGCGAGAATCTGTTCCGCCTCTGCTCGAAGAGAGTCTGAAAATTGATTGTCTTCTTGTGCACAAGCGAAGGCGGCAGGCACTTCAAGCTGCTCAAAGTGAGTTTTATTGGTCAATGAGACGTGGCAACCGACAATGGCGTCGGCGAGATGAAGTGGACCACCAGCCAACAATGCATAAAGACCACCGAAACAATAGCCAACAGCTTCTATTTTCGTTACACCTTTCTCCGAGCGAAGAGTCTATTGTAAATGTTAGTTAGTTAGAAGAAAAAAATGATATAGATACGTACTTGAAAGAACTTTTGCACAAGAGGAAGACTGACAGATTGACGATGGCGAAACAACCAGGGCGCTAACGATGTGACGAGATTTCCTGCATATCTAAGCTATATCACAGGAAAAAATGTTTTCTTCGACTAATCTATCATGTATAACGAACCCGTGCACTAATAGACATCTTTTCCCCAGACTCTTCAGGCATGTTCTTCATTAATGACGAATGAATTGCATCGCCTCTCAATAGATCTGGTACATATACATCGAAACCACTTTTTTCTGACACTTCATCGGCAATGATACGTATATTCTTCGTCAATCCTAATCAGATATTAACACGTGATGATCCTTGAAGAGTAAATAAGAAGAACTTACCGAATATATCGGTTAACAAAACAATCGTCTTGCCTTTCGATGTTTGATCTTTTCCTGAAATATAATAAGTATCAATATCAGCGATCTTAATCATTTGTCCGCTTGGAATACCAGGCAATGGACGGTATTCAGTGAGACAACAGGCATCTAATTTGTCATCAGTTGTTTCAGTAGCCATTCAAAGTTTTGTCTCTACAAAGATATTTGTCTCCGTTAATTTCGGTTACGTTCTGCACTCTACGTGAAATAAATAAAGGGAGAAAGAAAAGAATCTTGCTTTTATATTACAGACAAGAGTAAGTAACCTTGCTCTCGTTGTCATGATGTTGCAAGAAACAGAATAAAAAGGTTAAGATAAGAACGGCATAGGCGTGCATAACCTACGTTTGCATACATAAAGTACACGTGTACCCTCTTTGATTCAAGGTTTTAAAAATTTTGTTTTTCTATAAAAGAATTGATTCGTTGTTAATTATCAGAAGTGAATCATAGTTTAGTTTACAGTTCATAATTCGCGTGTATTGCGTGCAACGTTAAGAGAACTCTCAATAGATGTCATTTCCGATTAATTTTGTTTTCGTGAAACCTTTTCATTATTCTCTCTTTTCTACTTTTATCATCCTGATCAGCTAAAAATCAAATTACATTATATTACAAAGAGAAAGCGACATGTTTACACCATTCAATAATAGAGGGATGCCATGTTGTGACACATGCTTTAAAAGAATATAAGTTGAACATGAAGTGGTCATAAAGAAAACATTATCAGGACAAAGAGTAGTGATGTAATGTAGTGGTCAAAATCAGAAAAGAACGATCGCATACCGTTCCAGGCAGATCTGCCAATAGTTTTTAAGCCTACATTTATTTGACAAGAAGGGAAGTTAATATTTCTATTAGCAGTTAAAAGTTCTTCTTCTAAAAGATTGAAGAAAAATTAGTTTTTACAATGCTTCCATCAATATTAGCAAACGCAAGTGAACATTGCTCATGATATTTCTCATGGGAATACGTAGGGCCACAATGCCTATCCTTGAGAGGTGCCTGTGAGTTCCAAAGACCTATCCTAGAAGTTCTCGCGAGTGCTAAATCCCTTTTCTATGAGAGGACTCCCAAGTCTTCAAGATCTTTTCAATGACAGTACTTCAACGCCCAAAAAGCCTGTTCGATATGACACCGTCAAGTTCTCAAGATCTGTCCTGCGGGGTACACTTACATCTTCAAGCTCTCTTTGTGTGTGGTGGGCGAGTACTCACAAATCCTCAAGGCCCCGTGAGCACATGTAAGAATCCCTGGAATAGATCTTGAATACTTGTGAGTGTCCCATCGCTAGGGTATAGCTGTTGCCTTGATTGTGAGTCTTCCTTTCAACTTCACGCTCACCTACACCTTTTATAAGAATTAAAGCGTCTCACCGGGAGTTCAACCAAATTCTCTCGCTCTATGAAGGTTAAGTAGTAACACACACAATTGAACACTCAAAAAGACAAGCAAACTTGAAACCTTTTTGATGAAATAAATTACAACAGTTATTGACAGTGTGACTGGACGTCAATTGCTATAATTAAGGGAGAGGAGTTGCCATTACTTTGCGGGGTACATGGTAACGAAAAACGTATCAGTTATTAAATAATGGGTAAGCAGGAAATTATCAGTTAGTTTTATCAATTGATTTGCTAAAAGCATGATCTATCACTTTTTTTCGATCGAGTAGGGTGTGGGATGTGCGTGTGTGTGAGGTGAGGGTGTGGAATGGATTTAGAGAGGTCCAACACCCACACCCAATTCTATGGACTTGGCTAGCAACAGGAAGTAATTATACATTAAAACGTTCAAAAAATAAATGGGAAGATCCACCATATCGCACTAAAACTGTATATAGATGAAGTATAAAAATAAATCGAACAAATCGTTTATCCGATCGTACATTATGTATGTCAGCTTCTCAAGGTGAAGTTAATTCAATAACAGGTAAACCAAATTATCGTCATTATGATGTACATAGGTAAGAAAAATTTTCCTTTGTTTTTTTTTTCTTTTGGATTAAATTTAAATAAATAAATTGATTTAAGTCTTTACGGATAGAGTCAAATAAAACCAACATTAGATATAATAAGAAAAATAATTGGTAAACGAAGTTTAGTTTTACCTCATTCAACTTTTGTTGATTCGAGTCAATGAGCTGGTCATTGGCTTGGAGATAATGAATCAACATGGCATGACATGAAAAGATCTTTAATTGGAATGATTGAATTTAATTGGTTTGGAATTCCATTTAAACAGAAGAAATGTGTATTCGGTTAATTAAAAGTCTTTTTTTCTATTAAAAATTATTCGTTTTTTTTAGTTGGATACAAGTCGGAACATTTTATCCGATTTTCACGAAATCTAACTCTTTTAATATTTAGTTATTTACTTAAATTCTTTATTAAATTTAGCATAATATTTGGAAACTACCTGATCGAGATCCAGCTGCATAGTAATAAACAGCTTTATCTATTATGACTACAGCGCTTCGTATTCGTTATACACTTCTTCCATATTATTATATGTTATTTTATAAAGCTCATATAAATGGTTCAACTGTAATTCAACCATTATTTCATGAATATTCAACTGATAAAAAAAAACATTTGATATATTTCTTCAATTTATTATTGGAGCTAATATAATGATAGCTCCAGTTACTGATGAAGGAGTGCGACAAATTCAAATTTGTATTCCTTCATCAAATTGGTATAATTATTATACTAGTCTTCAATATTTTTATTCAAAACAACTTATTAATATATCAGCACCATTAGATACAATTCCAATATTATTAGGAGGTGGGTCAATTATTCCAACACAAAAATATGCAAATAATACAAAATATTCACGGTAAATTTTACAAGATTTTTTTATTTATTTTCAATAGAGAAAATCCATTTGGTTTAATAAGTGTTTTAAATAAAAATGGTTATAGTCAAGATGATCTTTTTTATGATGATAGTGAAACAATTGATACAACCAAAAAAAAGGTTATATTTTTATTCAAAATTTCAATGGTCATCATCAAAAAAACAATTAACAATAAATGTTATTGAAAATAATTATTCACATATGTCAAATTTAATTTTAGATACAATAACTATTTATGGATTAAAATATATTCCAATTCCAATTAATCTTAATAATAAACAATTTAATCCTAAAATAAGACCTTTTACATAAATTATTGATATAACTGGTTCAGGATTATCAATGGGTAAGAATTATACATTAACATGAACCAATAGAAGATCAATGGCTATTTTAATCCACAAGAACACAAAACAATATTCTTGTCAACGATTTGATTTTTAACAGAAACTTTTACTAGGAAAATTCTTTTGAATCACAAAATAGCATTTATTCAATTTTTAATTTAGACGATGAAAAAGAAATTATAGCATTTATTAATTTTTTTCCTTTATTTATTATAACAAATTTTATATTATTTAATTTATGGTATATTTTGACAAAAAATATTCTATACAAATCGGTGTTTATTTATTTCATTTTTAATATCTTATTGTTAGTGATATAACTCGAATCATATCATATTAAAATCAGAAGAATCGAAACATTTTGATATTCATTTTTCTCTTTTCTTCAAACAATGATCTATACAAATGCATGTTTCTGCAACAAAGCGATAGTGAACGTCCTCTTTCAGATTTCAGAGGCTACATGTAATCTTAATGCAATGATTTTTTTGTGTATGTACAATGATGATCAATGACATTCATTAATGTATTTCAGTGTTTTCTACGTATAGATGTCATCACTGGTATGAGGAAAACAATGCTCAGTCCATTTCACAATGGGTTCTTTATGACATTTTTTTTCGTCCGCTATGCTTCGGGTATATAAGTGTATACAATTTCATATTATTTCAGAAACATCGTACTTCTTATATCGTCCGTAATGTGTAAACCAAAATATAAGGTAAATAGTCTTTATACAAATATTTCTATTTGAATTATTATCTTTTTTAGTTTAAAGAAAAACTAGTGTCCAATTATATTAATTAATTTTCATATATATCCGTCTCCATTTTTCAGATTGTAAGAAATAGAATTTTTTATATAAAGGTAATCTTATATGTTATATTTTTCATTTTAGAATAATATGGAATCAAAGTCAAAGAAGACTACAAAATTAATCGAGGA